GCGCCAGCGGACATAATGAATGTGCGTCTGCTGCTGTGGGGAAACTATGGAAACTACAGTTTTCTATACAGCGGACTACAACAATTAAGAACGAGGGACTACTGTAAACTCATCTAGAGACTCTGCACCGTGCTCTGATACTGTTGTTTTATGCTTTATGAACGTGGACAACAGAGAAACATATTCTTCATGACCAAAGTTGGAATTGAAATAAAAAAGGAAAGTGAAACTTATGCTCGTCACCCTCTTCCTCCGGTCCACATTAATACAAATGATCCCAATACGTATGATTGTATGAAAAGATCTTAAAATAAATACAAATGTATTTATTATAAACATTAGTCCTTAACATCTATCACTGTGTATATCACCATTCAAACATCTTTTAAAAGTTGAACAAACCCCACAGAGCTCAGTAAACACTGTGAAATGTTGACTTTATTTGATCATTTCGTTCAACGTTCATATTTCTCTTTTTGATTATAATACTGATGAAGGTTCAAAACAAAGCACTTTGGCAAGTTACCCCCTAGGTTTTAAAATGCTTAATAAGCACCGTAACGTTCATGATATCATTTCTCGGTCATAATCGGTTGTTTCCGTGAACGGCCGACTGTTGAGTGACGGCAAATGCTGCGGCTGCAAGGCATTGTGGGGCAGCATTTTCTCCTCTCCTTTCGTCAAGGGAGGTCCAGTGGTTCCTAAGCTAAAGGAGGTTATAAAGGAAGTTTGAAACCTCCTTTCCTATCATCTAGAGGGTTCAATTACATCCAAAGTTTATTATGATGAAACACAACCAAACACACAAAGGTGAGATAAAAGCATGAAGGGGCATTCATTCACTCAGTGACATGATTACATACATACAAAAGGCCTTCATACAGACTTAACTCGAGCAAATATGCACCAATGTGCCCACTGCACACCCAAATAGACATATATGAGGAAGGCAGCAGGGTCATGTGCTCTAATCACACTTTTTCAATTACACAGAGCCGCGTGAAGCAGAAAAGTGAACACTCAACTGATTCACTTATGAAGGCGGGCAGTGAGAAGAATACTAGTTTGTTGTTTGGAGCTAAAGTATTTATTTGCTCTATTGAATCACAATGTCTCTTTTTCTAAAGTCAGACTGGATCTGAAGCACGATATGAACAGCAGCCAAACTCAATTACTTAATGTTGACTATGCAATAACAGAACATCCCATAATCTCCCTCTCACACACAAACAAACAGCCATGCAGGTACCGGAAGATGTTGTAACGTGGCTTTTTGTAAGAAAAGGGTAGACTGAATGTGACTGTTTTATCCACTACAGACTCATTTAGATGGAATCCGTAAAGTGCCAGTTGATCGTTCTAAATGTGGTTATTCCACACAGATTTATCCAGATTAGATCGTTTATAAATTCTCTCACTTTTGCTGGCCTTGTTTGGCCGAACAGTCACTTTCTTTTTGGCAGAAACTCGCACTTTAAACACAGTTTGCACCCAGTCATTACCAGCCTGCCTATCCACTAAAGTCCCAGTTGGCAGCCTTGCTACCCAACCCAGGGCTGGACGGAAACTGTGAGTGTCCGGCGCTGCAGACAGGCTGAACAACTCCCACAGGCACCGGGCCCTACACACACGTGATGTCTGTGAGGGAGTTAAGTGATTTTCTATGGGTAGCTAAGGCTGCTTAACAAGTTGTAATTTATTCATATCACTATATCTACACATTGCTATTGACTGGGATCTTGTGGCCATTGAGTGAGTCAATAGAGAGTATCAATAAACATATGCACTTTTAAATGAATTAATGACACTTCACAGGAAGTTTGAGGCAAATGTTCGTTGGCTGGCTGTATCTTTTGTTCTGAGATAATGACGGCCAAAATGTCTGATTTTAGGTTGGATAACAACATGGTATTAATCCCCACTGAGAAATGAATTTGCCACCAAATCAACTCTACAGTACACAAACAGTAAAGGCAATACATTCACATTACTACTCAACAAATACAGATACACAGTGCAACAATGCCCAAACTGCTGACTGCATCTGTACTGCCTCTTTGATAATGGAGCATAAGCACACTGAACAGACCTGTTGAATAGGTATACATAATAATAACATTGTTAGGGTTGGGCTGTTTACAATAACTTATTATGACAGTATTAACTTGTAATGTATCCTTGTTAAACATTATTTGGTCTTGTCATTTATTTATTTTTTGACCCCGTTACCTACTGAAATGTGTTATTACTGCCAATCTTAACAATGATGTCTGGACAAGTTACCCCATACTGGGATCAGGGTGTGACAATTACTGTCAGTGTTGCCAATTAATTTCCCTGTATGCATCATGTTCTGGAATCCTTTCAGTGCAAAAGCATCCAGCACACATCTTGTAGCCTCAGTCCGTCCTAACGTGAACGAGAATGAGCCAGGTGATGTTTGCTACCAAGATCTGAAACCTGATCTAAGGCTTATTTAGGCGACCAACACAGTAGCTGCTTTCACACCTTACACCGGACTTTGAATCACTTCCTGTTATGTATGATGCTAAAACCATTCCAGTTATTTTCATATTCAAATGAGATGAATACCTGGTTTCGACCTCAACTATGGTGATAAACTTGTGTTACACACAACAAAACAGCAGCAGCACAACACTGTATTCAAGTCTATCAATAGACGAGGAGATTCAAAAAATGTGAATTATCAATGGGTAATGGAAACTTCTTAATTCCTGATATACTGGTTAGTTATGTGGCTGGTTGTGTCATGCTACTCATTATCAGACACATACTTTATGACAACAAAACACTCCATCAAGACACACCACAAAATGACACTTTGGTTTAGAGCCAATGTTAAAGCCTGGCCTTCATCTGACTTATACCAGTATATTCCTGTTTGTTTATATTACTACAATGATCTACTGCCTGTGGTGAAGCTCTGAAGTTTTCTAGAGCTCTAAATTATTACCAGTATTTCTCCTTGCCACTTTAAACGGCAGCAGTTCTTTCATATCCCAATCATCATTTTCATTAAAATATCCATCCCACTAAGGTAATGTCTCCAAATGCCGACCAAATGTTATATCAGGTACTTTACTTACTAAATATTGTTAATACCAGCTCAATGTTGCCCTTTTAATGAGTAACTCTACTCTTATAGGGCTAAATTAACTTCAAACAAACTGTTAAATATCCATTTCAATTTCATAAACATATTTATATTTGTATTAATATCACCCAGCCCTGCTTTAGTTATGGGTTCTGAAATGTTAACTCTCAAGTCTCTCCTTTAGATGAACATCATTGACACAGACAATGATGTAATCCAAAAACACATCCTGAAGCTTATGATCAAACAGGGAACAAACGCTATGGCACCATGACATCAGTTGCAGTGACTGAGGTATGGCTAGTTCCTACTAAACACCTTGAGCCCTAAACGCTTAAAAGTTTAAAAACGGTGGGGGTATTTTTCAAATGATTTCTTAATTGAACCATATTCTGTGTACATCACTAATTTCCAAAAACAGTCACCTGATTTATAAATTCATAATGTTTGTTAAAAAAAAAAATCTGTTGTTCAGAGACCTAATGAAATATAGACTTTATCTGTGTTCGTGTAGATGTTTTCACTAATTACTGCAGTAAACTGTTACTGCTGCTATTATTTGTGTCTGCAGGCCTGGATGGAGCACATCACAACCCCTCACAACATTAGCAGTAAGCTAGTTTTATAGGGCAGCTTTTCTATTTCGAAAGGACATCTAGCAGTTTAATGAAATGTACAGAATACTCGTCAAGCGGACAGGTTGAAATCACAACAGCTAGCTGATACAAACTACAAACACAGGCTTGCAGTCGACAAGCAAAGCAATTCAGCTAGCGGAAAGCTAACTTATCAGTTCAGTCACAGCAGTCTTTATCTAATAACGTAATGACAGCAACAACATTGGTTAGTCACGAGCCGACCTGTAGACGCGGGGCTATCTGCCAGCCCAGGTGAATGCAGGCTAAACAGGAAATACCAATGTGTACCAGGCTGCGAGCTAAAGCTAAGTTTGGCTAATGCTAACTAGCTCGAAGTCCAAAACAGTCGGACCTCTATCTGGAGGAGCGAGCTCACTCAGCAACACCCCGCCCGGCTCCGGAGGAAAAATGAAGAGAAAGAAGAAGGAAAACAACATTTCTCATCTCACTGAAGGCTAACGGGAGACTAGAACGAACACAAGTGTTGAGAAAATAGCTGTCAACTTACTTGTTAGGAGCGTAGAGGAGTTGATTGCTGGTAGTAGCTGTCAGAAGAGTTGCAGCGAAGATCGTATATGTTAAACAAGATGAATCACTCGGGAGTTCAGTGACACGCCTTCCGGTTTGGAATGTGATTCACGCATGCGCTGTGAGTCTGGCACCTACCTTACATATTTTTACAGGGCAATATTTCTATTTTTGACTTTAACATTTCCCATTTGCTATATAGTTGTATACACATTCACATTTCTTGTTGTATAATTACATTGGAAACATGCATATGAATACAGTGAGACATCTATTTAGGCTTGTATTTTACACAGAAGAGCTAAAGTATGCATTGGCTCTGTTGATTCACATCTGTCTCTTATTCAAAATTGGATCTGACAGCTGCATGAGAGCCACAGTATCAAGGCTTACACTTTACAATGAAGGATTCCTTTCGAAAAAAACATAGGATAAGTGAATGTTTTGCTCTGATAAATAGTTTTAGCATCTGATGGTGGTTGTTTGCCGCATGACAATCATAAGCTCAATGTCAAAGTTCATGCTGTCTCCAGAGCTCATGGTTAGTTATGGTAAGGGTTTGCATTTATATAGTGCTTTTCTAGTAAACATCTAGCAATTCAACTACACCCAATTAACTTTATGATAAAACTGTGGATGTGATATTAATTGGACATAACGTGTATGTATGTGCCTTGTAAATCATCACACAAAGAGACATTTCAAGCAGTTACAAATATTTTATAGTCAAAAGTTAACACTGTCAAATATTATTGTTTCTGTATTCGTCAGGTACAATATCTGTTTTAACCACATTTCTAAAAATCTTCTTATCTGTTGTTAAAGATAACTGGTTAAGTATGTAAGTAATAAAATATATAGTTGATACAATTCCTAAATAAACAAATGACAATGAATACTCTGTGGTAGTGGAAACATGACAAAAACACTACTTTTATGTCTCCTTTCTCTTCAGAGATTCTAGACGTATCAAACTTGTCAGCCTTTGGTGATGAATTTTCCTTTTGCCAGGCTTCTACAGTATTTTTTTTTTTTTATCCTTTAAGTCAATCCAGAGAAAAATATCTACAGTTCTATTGTAATAATTTTGAGATAGTGTATTGTAATGGCACTGCAGTCGACTTTTATTTAATCAAAGTGAATGAAAAGGTAAGAAAAAATAAATGAAAAAGCTTCTGATCAATGAATTCCAATAATGTAATATGCACTTTCGTGTATTGCTATAATGGCAACACTAGGCCTCTCTGGAAATCTTGTAAAATAACATGACCCAACATTATACTACACAAGTCCTCAATGTTTCTTGCTTTGCTTATTTAGCCTCACTTAATGTTAATGTTGTTATAGATTGAAATAGAAATAGAAAAAATCACAGGAAATATTTAAATATAATGTTTTGTCTGACAAGCAATGCTTGGTGATTGTAATGTACAAAACGAGCACTGTGCAACAGTTTAAAATCACATAAATGTGTATTATGACTTCTCACAGTATGAAAAAAAACATTAAATGAAATTACATGATTATTTGCTTTTCAAAAACTCAACATGAGAGTAGTACAGGAGTACATAAGGAGTGTGTAGACATAATATCACAAACTACTGTAGTTAATCACACTCGCTCAATCAAAATACATCATGTTTTCCAGGGGGTTTATGGTTTTCGTCAAGAACACAATGGGATCAAAAGATGCGTTCATTGCTTTCTGGTTAATATTTACAAATCAGACTTTTTGCATCACTGTCAAAAGAGATATTTACTCAGTTCATTTCAAGCTTGGCATTCTTGTTTGTTCACAGGCCTACACCTTTGTAGAGAAAGTGGGGATTCCGTGTGGATCTGGCAACCCAAAACAACCCCTGTATTCATGATCCAGTTTTAAATTGCTTTTATGTATATGTACATGTGCAGCATTGTCATATCTTCCTCAGAGTCCACCATGCTTACAATATTCCTATAATTGAGTTGCTTGATGAGACAAAAGAAGCTGAAAGGTGATGACTGGAGATAAAGAACTGCAGTAGTTTGCCAGACAGCTTGCATAGAGTAAGCTCCAGTCGTCCATCCTCTACAACCTTCTCCTTTAACTCAAACATGCGTCCAGAGATCCAGAAAACTGCAGAGGGGATGATGACTTTTCCTTCTTATAACTTTTACAAATGTATTTCAGTCTCCATCATGAAAACGTGTTTTATATTTACTACACACTCCATCATACTACATGTTTGTCCTTTGGCAGTCATAAGGAAGATGTGTAGCTTAAATTATCTAAGATAGCCCTCAGTCAGTAAAGACAGTAACAGTCAACAGACAGATTACGAGTTTACAACTAGACCCTTTATGTCGGAGCATAAAGAGACATGTTCCCACAAGAAACCTACAGTTTTATCTACAATCAATTACATAATTACTATCATAGTGAAAACTTAAAATTAAAGGATATAAAGTTAGGAACTAGGTTTGAAAGGGATCCCTGTTTGTCACACTTGAATCTTCAGCAGTTGAAGTCTTAAACCCCCTTAAATCCCCCCCAATCCTTAAATAAATGTGATAACTTCCACAAACATATAATCCATTATATTGTGGTCTTATTAGAAGAGCTGTTGGAGTTTGTGTAAGTGAAATTAGGGGTGTGTTTGGGTGTGATTTCCTTTTTTCAGAGTGGTCACACCTCGGTGCTGATGGCTCGGGTGTTGGTGTAGAAATCGGGGGGTCGGCCTCGCTGGGTCTCCCTCAGCAGGGAGCCTCGGACGGTAGGCAGCGGCATCGCCAGCGCCTGGTTCTCATAGTGTGTGGGCATGTAGGTAATGCGCTCGCCACCGTTGCGCATCTCGTCAGTGGTACGGATGTAGAAGGGCGAGTCATAGGGCGAGCAGGTGGGGCAGTAGGTGCGTGGCCCCCCTGTGGGTTTGTTGGGGTCGGAGGCTCGGGGCAGGTCTGGTGGGGACATGGACAGCGGGGTGATGATGGACCCGTCCAGGCCGGAGACACTGCAGGCGTTGCAGGCAAAGTGTTGCTGAGAGATGGAGCCGCTGTCAGACCCATTCTTCTTACAGCAGTAGTACTACAGAGGGGAAAATCCATCACAGTCAGACAACAAAACGAACTGCACTGCAGTGTACCACTATACAACACTGAGGTTGTTATTAAATGCTATCTCAGTTTCTTGAAACAACTACAAATTTGAAGATACAATGAAAGAAATCCCAATAATAGATGTAATCAACATGCTTTAAAAATGTGTTTCTTCATAATAACTGTCCTTTTAAAATGACTGGAATACAATTTCTACAATGTCCCTAAAACAAAACAAGCTGCACGGACTAAGACTGAAGTTGTTGAAATAAAAGTGAGTAGGTTTATCAAGGTGGGATTTATTTTTTGGTTTACTAAGCTATTGTAATATTGATTAAAATAACTGTAAACTACAAATTCTTACTGAATATTCAAAACACAATTTCCATTTAACTGAAATAACTAACATGTATTGCTACCAATAATGTTAATGACCATCTTCCAATTTGATACAATATGTATAGCTTACAGTCTCCTATAAGCTGATATGTATATCATATATATATATATATATACAATGTGGCAGAATGATTCATATTGAAGTGTGATTTGACTATCTTTGAATACAAACACACTGAAAGAGTTGTACCTGGAGTCTACAGTAACAGAGCACAGCTATGATACACAGAAGTATCACTGTGGCCAGTATTCCTCCGGTTATGACAACAGTTCCAGCTGTCATCCGACCAGCTCTCCATCAAACTCTGACACAGGCACAGGAAGTGACATCATTAACAAGAGACGCCAACTACAACAGCAAATTTGACTTTCAATCAAATCATGCAAAGGTCAGCATCACAGTAAACACAGACGCAATGTGCTGGAATATATTTTCTCTGTTAGAACGTTAATAGAACAAACTCAAAAGGTCATTCTATAATTATGTGTAGAGAATTATGTGAAGAACATGAAAAGTGTCTTTGATACAAGCATACATTATCGCAGGTAAAACAGCAGACAACTCTCCTAACTGCAAAACTGAAACTGAATCATAAAGAAAATGTAATATTTATATTGATAATTGTAAACCTAATATACTTTTTATACCCTCCACAGGAGGTAATGTTTTTGATTTGGTATAATTGTTGCATGAGACGGATAAATGGAAAAACTACAAGCACAATTTTCTTGAAACTTGGTGGAGGGGGGTAGCATGATTCAAGGAGAAGATCATCACATTTAGAATCGGATCCTGGTTACTGGGCGGATTCACAATAATTCATATATAAAACATGCACTTACCATGAGGCATAAATGATACAGAGTAAACCACACTGTTATTATCTGTTGTCATACTCACGTTCAGCAAAGTTGCTTAACACCTGAGGAGAGAAAAAAGGTGGTTCCTTTGACTTATATATAATAGAAAGGCAGGAACACAGACAGACAGACAGACAGACAGGCAGACAGGCAGGCAGGCAGGCAGGCAGGCAGGCAGGCAGGCAGGCAGGCAGGCAGGCAGACAGACAGACAGACAGACAGGCAGGCAGACAGACAGACAGACAGACAGACAGACAGGCAGGCAGGCAGGCAGGCAGGCAGGCAGACAGACAGACAGACAGACAGACAGACTTACATCAGAAGAGTGTTTAAAGGTTGTACGGGTGAGGAGAAGTCACATTAGAGGTCAAAGGTGAGAGGACTGCCACACTGTATGAACATATCTGAGGAGAGAGGAATTGGAAAGAATAGTATTATATAAGAGTATAAGCTTCAGTGAAGAAGCTTTACACATATTCTCCACAAGGTGGCGCAGACAGAACAGACAATAATCTCTCACAAATACATGGCAAAACAGAACTCTCCTTGATACAGTAATGTCTTTGAAGAATTAGGAAAATGGCCATTTGTTCCCCTTGCCCCGACAGTTCTCAAGTCAGCAAAAATTTAAAAGACCATACCGAATCACACAATAACATCAACAGCTCCTAAGATGTGTTAAAGATCTCAAACGCATGTATGTATATGATAGTGCTAAGAGAAGCTGAATTCGTTTTTTCATTCACACACAAATGTTGACAGTCTGACGAGAAGTAAAGGAGGCAGTACTGCGGTCTCAAGCTCATAAACCATGTTTCTGTCAGAAAGTACACTTGCCTTCAATTATTTGTAGGGACCAAAGGGGATGGCAGCCGACAGATTTCTCTTAACATCATTCATCATAACTCTCTCCAGTGTGTGCAACCTGAAACTCGGTACACCAAACTATTTTTCATAATTAATGCCAGCGCGGTGACTTGTACTCCAAATGGAAATGAAGTCACCGCTGTCACCACGTCATCCCTAACTCAGACACAAAATAACAGATCTGTTTTTCTTCCTGTTTACATGTTGCTCTGCAAGCTCTTTCAGGCAAAGTTGGTGGTTAGATCAATTTGAGTTCACTTCATATGACAAACTACAGAGAGAAATTAGATATGTTCATCAGTACACACTCACACAGTGTGCTGCTGAGGAAAAAAAAAAGCTGGATCAGACACTGCTGGGTTCAGATTAGAGCAGTCTTCAATCCCCAATGATGCCTGAAGAGACTGATAAGACTCTCACACAAATACAAAACTCAACAAGGCAAACATGTTGTCATGAATCACCACAAAAATCAGTAATTCCTAAAAAGTATGTTTGAACAACAAGGCAATTGAAAGTGCTTTACAAAAAACATTGAAAGCACCAACACATGCAAAATAACTCAATAAAATGACATAATACTGTATAGATCATATTAAAGATAACCGCTCATGTCTTTAAGGATTCACATATTTAAGGGGTCTTTTGATCCAATCATTTATGAGCTCCTTTAGGCTATAGATGTATCTAAAGAAGTTGCAAGCATATTGTTGTTGTCTTGTCTTTATCATGGAACATTTTAGCTTGAGGCAGAAAACACATGTTTCAATCCCACCATGTTCAATGTTCAAATGACATCACTGACACCTGTCAGTCATCTCAACTGGCTTACAGTATGTGTACCCTGAGGCTGTCAGTGATGCTGATGTTTGTAAATCTTCCATCTTATATTACATCTTGATACACTATACTACCGGTATGATGTGTTCGATTTTGGGACGATGCAGTATTTGTTGTTCATTTGAAAGACAGGTGAAAAACGAAATGTTTGATTGGTTGCCAACCTTGACAAGACCCCAGAGGAAACAATAAGAGTAAGATGAGGGCTCAACTACTTTGGTTTAGTTTTGGTCTGAATCAATTTGCTAAGATAGCAAATTGAAAGAGCTAACATTAACACAAGGAGAGTGCAAGAGATATCAGGGATCAGGGTTTCTTTTTTAAAGCATTTGTATTTTGAGTTTTATTTATTTGTTGGCACTCTATTGTTTCCATTTATTTTTTCTTCCAAAGTGTTTTGGTTTGTAGGCAAAAAAACCTTCGTGCTGTACAACTGCAGCTTTCCCATACGCTGTTTTTGGCAAATCAGAGTAACGGGAATATCTCCCCCCCTCTCTCTCTCTCTCTGATGGAGTGTTCCCTCTGGACTCTCGGCCATCAGTCTTCAGGAGCAGCTGAAGGACCTTGACTGCCCCGGAGGATTTTTACAAGATTGATTCTTTGGATCTTAAATTGCTCAGACCAGCAGTCGGCCAATGTCAGTCTCTCCTCTACAAAACACACCACAAACACAATCCATGCTTGTAACATAAACGCCACAGGTCCCATGCCAACAGTGTTTGTTTTTGCATAACAAAGTATGTTTGAGAAAGACACCAACCTGCTCCCTCATCGATTAAATGTAAGCAGAAATGTGAAAAATTATAGAAATATTATTCAATTTTAGATAACGGTTTATTAAATGAACTTTGAATCTTCCTTGGAAATGAAAGCAGTCAGTCAAAATGTTGCGATCAGAAAACCATAAACAGAATAGAGAAGTATATTCTTATTTAATCCTGGTTTTAATATTTTTGAAATGTTTGATGTTGTTCAGAACTGATTATTACACGGACTCGTTCAACCAAAAAGACGAAATAAAAAATTGTGGGTTGCTTTTGAGTCCCAAAAAGTGTGGGTAAGGTAAATGGAGGGCTGAGAATTTTCCCTCCATCAATGTCAATCCAAGTCCTAAACCTAGAGCAGTGCTTGAAGATGTGTTATTTTTAACTTACTACCTTCTAAGTGAAATTATTTAGTTTTCCTGACAACTTCAGGTGTTGATCCCAGCAGCAGCTCAGACCCAGAGCCAATCTACCTAGACAATAATCAAAATAAAAAAAACACAAAATGTCATCACATATTTTGGAAAACCTCCATTTTGTCATCTAAACTCCACGGCTCTATAGCTGCTGTTGTGAGCGGAGAGAAAACAAGTGGCACATCCAAATGGGATTCATGGTCACAGTTGAAATGTAATTTGTCTAATCCTGTTATCTGGCGTTCCAAAGGCTTTCCTCTATCTGTTTCCTCTCAAACGTCTCTGTTGCGGCCCGGCGTGGGCGTCTGTGTGTGTGTTTGCATGTAAGTGTGCATGTGTGTTAGTTCACATGCGTGGGTGTAAAGTTAATTAGGTTGGGGGTCGGTTAAAACATTGTGGTATTTCTTTTTCATAAAGATTATTCAATGTCAAAGTAAAATTAAGAGTAAAATGACAAAACATACATCCATAATCTGTTAAAGCTCCACTGGGAAACTTCACACAGTGGCAAAATTAAATTACAGGATGAATGTTTGGATCAGTTTTATATATTGTTGTAAGGGGATGACAGCAGATTGAAAGAGTTTACTCATCTGTAAAATCACTAATGTTATTTGAAAGTAACATTAGCTGAACTTCTCCTCTGTAAAGGTGTGGGCACTGTCCTTGGTGCTGAAGTGCTGTTACTGGAAGAAAAACCTTCTGTGTCTATGCTGTTTTGTCCATGTTGTGAACCCCACAAATGTATGAAATGATTAGGCAGGGTGGATTGAGCTGTATGGCAGGTAACTGTGTGGACAATTGCTTTGGTTTTGCAACAAAGCATTCAGATTATCTTCTGCACTCGCCAAAGTTGGTAGTGGTTTTACCCTGAAATGTTACTGTTTTCATTTGCAACAAAGTGACTTTAGTATAATGTAAAAATGCTAAATTTAAAAAGCAAAAAAATCAGTACTGTATCAAAAAGTGTAACTACTTTTCGCCTGCATGTTTTTGATGTAATAACGCTTCAGTGATAACTACATGAACTTCGAGAATGCTAAAGCTTACATGTGACCTTGACAGCCTTCTTAATGTACTTAGGGACCTATAGGATCTAAACCAGCCCTTGTCACATCTTCTCTCTTGAGCTGTTGCAGCAGTTACACCCCAGTGGGCAGAGATTGATGACACTGAACATTTCAGTTCAATTACTTGATTTTGCTCGAGGTCATTTGGGGCGAAGAATGCAATGAATGTGAAGAACCACTCCCCAGAATGATCCTCTTGGCCCTATAAAAGTACATGATCAATACAGGCAGTAAAATGCCTTTGCCCCTGTGAGGATGGAGAGAGACAGGACGGCAGAGAGTTGGAACACAGTTTCAGTCTTTTTCTCCGTCCAATCTGGACCATGTTCTGATGCTGTATAGGCTGCTGGCAGCTTTATGACTGGTGTACTTTGTGCAGCTCTGCAGGCTACTGTACTCCAGCCTGCCAGCTCCTGATTCAGCCTTTCTACACACTTGCTGTGACTCAAGATGTGTTGAATACCTTCACTCACATTGCAGGCAAAAGATTCATTAATCACGGTCCATCTGTAATTTCACACACGTCAAATTCAACTTCCTGCCTTTCAATATAGGCCTATCACCAGATTCCTGGGCCAGTAGGATGGCTGTGGGCCCAGCCGACATCCACTGCACCATGACTGCTGTAACAACCACAGGCACTGCTGCTGCAGATTCTACTAATATTGTGACTCAAAATTAACCTTCTATGATCACAACTAATGCAATAAAGTTTAATTTTGACAAATGCTGCCACTGTTCAAACTTTAAATCTGCTTTTGGTTTAATGTGTATAGTATATCCTAACTTCTCCTTTAGATAAAGGCTTCCAGTTTCTTTTGACACTTGATTATTTGCATTAAAAATGCTTTAACGATATGATTTGTATTTTAACCAATCAAATGTTGTCTGAGGTTGATATGTATTAATTTCTAGCACTAGAACATTTTTTGGTAATCTGCAGAAGGTAACTATAGAATTATGTCTTCTTAACATGTGCATGGCTGTTAACAAATCAGAGTCACATATCCGCTGTGACACCAAATGCTAAACTATTAAACATTGTCTTGAAATCCATGAGCTGAAATAATATTGGTGAAAAAGTTTCTGGTTAAAGTCTAGGAATAAAAACCCTTCTACAGCAAAAGAGTGCCCTTAGGAAAGACACTGTACTTGTGTAGCTGCGGCCTGAAGCTGGGGCCAACAGCAGTAGGTTGTGAGCTCCCAGGTCAGGTGACTTGTACATGTATGGTGCTCAGCCAATTTCCCCAAGATAAACTTCCCCAAACAAATTTAGATATTAAACAGATATATACACAGCAGCCCGAAGCAATGCTCAGCAAACATGAAAGGTAAAGCTGCACTTGTGTTTCTCATGTTTGATGAGTGTTGGTTTTGTTCAGACAGGGCCAATACTCTACATCAGGGGTGTAACGGTATCCGTATTCGTCCCGAACCGTGTTTTTGT